CTCAAGTAGAACAAGCGCTGAGCACGGCACCCAAGAGGAAAAAGACAATGCACAGAAGCAGAGCGATGTTGACCTTGCACACCTCTCAGCATGGGACTGGCTCTTGGGATTAGAGAATGGTGATAAAAAAAACCCTTGCACCTCCTTTCCAGAATAGACTAGAGCAGGGAACTCGTGGCTTTCGGGGAGCATGGGGTCACCCACTGCCTGAACTCGTGGAAAAAGGGTAATACTGGGATATGGGCAAAGTGCACCATAGTTCCACCTTTCTCCCTTCCCAATATCAGTTTAAGCTGTTTACAAGATGCAGCCAAGCGCATCATCCTGAATGCTCTCTAGGTCCCACCAGCGCCACAGCATGAGATGGAAGAAGAGCAACAGGGAGTACCACAGAGCAGCAGCCTGGAGACCCCACGTATCCCTGTAGACTTCAAAAGGTGGTGATTTACAGACTACATACAACAGTCTATATAAACTAATATATTTCACACAGCTTGAGAATGGGAAAACCAGAGTGTTTGAAAAAGAAAAAAAAAGTATCTTGCTAATATTTGGGTTTGTAGTTTTAAGCTGCAGGAGACGTATTTACAGAACAGAGTAATCTCTGCTGGTTCAGACTCTCCTCTTCTTTCTCACCTCTACTCCTCCACTTGCAGTATCACGACTATCACCAAGCAACTAATGTTATAACTGGAAAGGACTTAAAAAAACTCCCTAAAAAAAAAAAAGAAAAGATAGTCAGTGATCTTAATATTTAAAGACTCAAAATATTCAAAATGAAGGATTAAAAAAATTGGTTTGAAAAACTAAAGATAACAGAATAGTTTCATTTACGGAGAAGTATTGCTAACTCCTACCATTCAAGCAGAATGTGCTCAACTCCTCTGGCCACTGAGCAAAAGAAAGAAGTCCTTCGAGCAACAAGGTTCTGTAAAAAAACTACTGTTTTATTGTTCTTTTCCTTTACCTCTGGCTCCTGTGCTTTCTGGGTACATTTTATCTCTTTTTTTCCAAATGTCCTTAAGAAAGGAAGCAGAGCCTCATACATTCAGATGACTGCAAACCCACATACCATGTCACTCAGGGGGCTGCTAGGCCTAATGAAGATCTGGTGATTTAAAAAACCACCTTCTGTTTCAAATGCAGAAGAAAACTGTTGAATCACAGGCTGGACACTACAAGGTTAGGGTGAAGAAAAGCAGAATTCTGCCAGGGCCTTCCTCTCTCCGTACCATGACGATGAAAGATTTCTCTACAACAGAGACAATCACATGGCTTCTTCAGCAGCTTGTAAAACGGCCTGGATTTTTTGCTTGGCTTTTCATCATTAAAAATTGAGATCCTCAGCTGGAGAGCAGAGGGAAGTGTAAGAACATCGGTCAATCTTAATTTTCCTTTTACATAAATCCAACTCGCTGGTGCTTCATCCGGAGCCAGGCTGGTGCCTAGAAAGCGGAGCTGCATGTGCACAACTGGCAGCTCCTCATTATCAGTGCCCAACAGGATGATCTATGGAAGATGATGACTAAGCTCCTGGCTTCACGTACTTGCTGTGGGAGATGTTCTGTTGATACCCAATGGTGAAAGGTTTTTAGCGTTGTCATGGGAACAGCCGTCTTCTTCAGTGAACAGCTTCTCCTCCATGTGAGACTGCCTTGCTTGTTTACAGAACAAAGTCGTTTCTCAGGAGTGCTTTGCCTTGGATTTCCAACAGTCTTTTCTTTCCCGAAACTCAGGCATCAGAAATTATGAAGATGATGGATGTTGATAAAGCCCCTAGAGGGAAACAGGCAGGACCCAGTACAAGTCTACACCATGAGCTGATCTTCATTTGCAGGGAAAGTGATCTGACAGCTTCATTATCTTCTGCCTGAAAGGCTCACTCTTGCTCTCTCTCATATACACACACATTTGCATCTCTCTCTTTCCTTCACCCCCAGGAATTTGTTTGTAGTCACCCAAGATGTAGAGGTGAAGCCAGCACACTGCACAGCTCTTTTGAGGATGTGCTGATGCAGAGAGACATTTGCAATGTCTCGTTTCGTCAAGTGACCTCACTTGTGTAGAAATACAGCTGCTAGGAGGGTCCCTCGCGTTAATTATTCCATACTCCTGCATCTCCAGGCTATGGTGACAGAAGCAAAAGACTGGAAAGTCCTACTCTGCCACCATCAGCAGCTTTTGGTAGGACCTCATGTTATCAGCTCTCAGGGATGAGGCAGCAGCAAAGAAAATCCCAACCAGCAAGTCACTGCCCATAGGAACAGACTATTTTGTGCTTACTAATTTAGTACCACAACTGTCTCACAAGCAGGACCCAAAAGAGAACACTACTGATAAATCAATCATTCTGGTCAATTCAAAATGATGAGTTTTTTCTCCAATATTTTCCTTGAAACAGAAATTTGCAAACAATGAAGGGTTTGAATATTTTGATTCAGATTGTTTCAATCTTGAAATAAAATTTCAAAATCATAGATCAAAACACTTCATTTAGGAGGTCTAAAAACATTTCACCACTTCTAAATCACCCTCTTTCCTCTGTCTCCATCTACAAGGATGAATCACCAAATGTGGCACGAATTCACAAGCAGTTTCAGTCAACCTGAAATGCATTTTAGCAAATTTACTGTGAACCTCCAAAAATATAATCAAGTCCAGATTCTCTAGTGATCTGACCCAGAATACTATTTCTGAGAAGCCTATTCTCAAACTTCTCAACTCTTCACACCTACCTTCACTCACTTAAGAGACTGATTCTGCAAACTTCCTACATGTCAAGTTTATATTGAAACTGGATGGAGTTTACTAGTTTCTGCCAGGCAAAGTATTGTCAAAAGAACCTTTCTTAAGGGTCATTTATTCTCAAAACACTGAAGCAAGAGTCTTCTGCCCTGAAAGGTTCACAACCAAATGGATTAATGTAAGGACTAAATATTTGACAGCACGTACTATGACAATTTAATAAGTATTACACACAAATACAGTACAGCCAACACTTAAGTACTCAGTAAATGAAAAGGATTGCAGTTAAGGTGTTCTAAGATGCCACATCATAAAGGCTTTTCCCACTTGACTCTATCATTTATAACTTTGCAATACAGCCTTTTCCTACCCGACTGGCTCTGATTTTCTAGGAAAGGGGCACTGGGCTGATCATAAATTGTGGAAGACTAAATTTTTTAAGCATAAATGACATCCATTATAACTTTAGTACTCAATTCTGAAAGTATCTGGTAAGAGCAGAGTTTCATGTTGTCAAAAGTTTGGGTAGATTTTGACAATGAAAGATGTTTCAAATAGCTGGCTCCATTCTGCTCCTGAAACGACTGGCCACCACTTTACCATACTGTGGCCCAACACAGGGCTTCTGCAGGACAAAGAAAAGCTTTCAATGACCAAATGTTACTATGATTACGTTTCTCCACCAAGAAAATGAAACTGTCTTCCAGCTTCATAGAAATTCCTCTATGGAGCAATAACCAAAATGATGTACCCCAGTTACCTATTCCCAAGCCCATCTCTCAGAGGATCGCATCCCTCTGCTCACAAACCAGCGAGCCCCCCTGAGCTACTCGCTCACACACACGTTAGTTATGGATTATGTCAGACAGTGAAGCACAAGTCTTTTTTTTTTTTTCCTTAAAATATTGCTACTCTGGGATGAGATCATCCCACTGTGAGTCATTAATCCAGAGAGACAGCTTGTAAAAATACAACAAAAAGCAGGACCTTGCTCTTAGAACCCTATGGCACTGGCCAAGAGGTATCAGGCACATTCAGACCTCTCACTGCCATACTACACACACCTCTAACCATCCTAAGCATGTATCAGCAGCACCCTTTCATGTTTCCACGGGTTTCATAATCCAAATCTATACTAGAGTCAGACTTGAGCATTAAAACTCTCGTCTGGAGCCACCTCCAGCCACTCACCTGGGTTTTGACAAATATAATTACCTGGATGCTCACCACTGCAGTGCTCTGCCACAGATTCAAAAGTACTTGTATGTTAAAAGAAGTATCACATCGACTTCTGCATAGTGCTCACAGTGATGAACTTCCACTGGTAAATCCTAAGCAGTTCTGGAACTGGTGAGCAGCAACTTTTCCTTCAGTCTTACCCACTGGAGCAGAGCAGTCAGTGGAAAGACTGAGTGGAAGATATCAAGCAAGTTCAGGCGCTGAAGAGATGGCACTATACAGATTAATCAAACAGATACACACTGGGAGAATGTCTCCAGTCTCCTTTATTTTCATTTATAGAAAAGTATGAATACATATCAGCAGAATATAAAGAAAATACTTCAAATATTTTCCAGTTGAAAATACAAAGCTATAGCTTGGTACCCTCCTGGTACCATTGGGAAAACTTCATATTTACAGCCCCAGGACTGCATTTCGGGGCAACTCAGAGATGCTCCTTGAAACCTGAAGTCCAAGAGCCCATTTATCCTTGGTACCTTCTATTCTCACAGACTTGAACAGGCTCATTTCTGAGTTTTGCCAAGATCAACCCTCTGTAAGACTGAGGATCAATATGAAATGATGAGACCAGGGAGGGTGACAACAAAAGGAAGAGATATATAAGCACAAGCAGAAAGTATCCACAAGGAAGTACCATTGCCATGAAAAGAAGGCACTTAATTTATTTTGCATTGTCGATTCTTCATTGAGACTTTAGAAAAATAATAATGAAACCTGGGTTCTTATGGCCTTTTTTGTCCAATTTCTTATTTGGTGAATTCTCCTTCCTCTTGAGAAAGGGTGAATTTGCAAGAAGTCATAAGGGTCAGACAAGCCTCCCTCGGGGAAGGATGGACAGAAAGAGATTGGCACTTCACAGCAAGCCTGATTCCTTTGGAAATCAAGGAGTACGCATAGACACAGAGGATGCAGGACGTCCCACTACCAACAGCAACCTCTTTAAAGTAAGTGGCATAGCCTCTGCCACGGAGAAACCACCATTTCGGTTGTGGTTCCTAATGCTCACGTACGTTGCTGCCAGACAAGCCACACAGCACTCCCTTGCTGGGACTGTCAGAAGTTAGATGAACAAGAAGCTGTGAACAGAAGGACAGGAGCAAGTGTCCAGCTGACGAATTCTCTTCCAGGTTCCCTTGCATCGAGGGTTCCCTACCGCCTGCCAGTGCAGCAGCTGATTCCTGAAACACAGCCGTAAGAGGGAGAAAGTTAACGTGATGCACCTCCACTGCAACTACAACAGTTTAAACCACCTAGTAAATCTTATTTAGTTTCTTAACATTGATTTTCATTTCATGGACCCAATTTTGCCTTTTTACTGCTGTAAAGAAGAAGCAACCGCAGTGACCTCCACAGGGTTATAATAGTGTGAAGTAAAGCCACAATCAGTCCGGAGCACCGGACTGGAAGAACTTGAAGTAGCACATGCTGTAAATGTTAAGTCCAAAAAGATTCACATAAACATTCCCTCAAGGTGCCCAGCACCACATGCAACAACTCACAAAGCACACCAACATCCCTGAAACACATGACAGGTTGCAAAGTGGGCAAAACACCTTTCTCCGTTTTTCTGTATAACACCATGCTCCCTCTCAGCAGGCAGAGCTCTATTGCCACCCACAGCCATCGAGATGTTGAATAAGTAGCGAGCACGCAACACACAGCACATGTGGTGTGAGCAGGTGCAGGGACACGAGCATCTCTGGATAACCACGTTAGCAGAACACTTGCCTAAACTTTTCTGCTTTGTGAAGAGCTACGCACTAACATGGCTTCTCGATGGCAGCTAGCCAGAGATACCAGACCCATAAGTGCTGGAACAAGGTTACTCACAGGCCTCTTAAGTAAAGGACAAAAAAACCCAACTAACCAACCAATCAACACCTTTTGTCCCAAGCGGTCCATCAATACATTCACCAGAACTGAACAGAGAAATATCTTACTAAAACAACCAAGCAGATCCACAGACCACTCTTCACAATCAGTGGCTGCACAAGCGATGCTGGCCTAATGGCCACAGAAAGTGAAATTTTTCTACAGCACTGTGCCCCTTTCCAGATTTTAGCATTTCAAGGTTTAAGGGAATCCCTCACATCAATGTGTCCCAGACCTGACCTTTAGAGAAGCACAGATACCACAACTGGACCAACTATTGCCCTGTGCACAGAGCTGCCCACAGAACAGCCCAACAGACCCCATAGTTGTCTGGAAACTGGAATTACTGCTCTAGCTCCACAAAGATGACCTTGCCTTTGCTTTAATGTGATGTCATGCTCCAGAGCAGGGTTTTATGCATCATATGTGGTTGGAAAAGGCTCTTTGCAGACCAGAATCTGCACAGGGAGGATTAAGATCCCAGATAAGTATCCTGCACACAGAGCAGTCCCACAGCCTTCAGAACTCTGGGCTGCAGCTTTACCTTTAAAAGGCTTTACTCCTTAAACACGTAAGCTAAACTTGGTTACTCTCGTCTTGCTGGTGGGGAAAGCAAACACTGACTTTGCTATGAATCAAGGCCATCCATCCACTCTCTCCCTTCACCCCAGGAGCATGGGAATAAACTGCTGTAGACTGGAAATTTATGTGCTACAACTGCCACATCTTGCTCCAGACGATGAAGAGCAGCTGATCCTCTGAGACACAAGCTGAGTAACAACTTCACAAACATCAAGCCTCTGCTTTATTTGTAGATCTTCCAGAAGACAATCCAAAATTAACAGATCAATTTCCCAGCTAGATGCTCTCTGCCTTGTTTATCTCATAGCTTTCTAGAACAAAGAAGCCAATGCAAGCTGGATTATCCCACCTATCCTCACCTCATGGCCACAAATCAAGGACTTGGGGAAACCTCCTGAGGTTGCATAACAGGGGTTAAAATGAACTAGCTTCTTCTACAGAGTGGGAGACAGGTGGAAGGCACAGATAACAAGTGTCTATCTTTAACTTGAAGCATTTATAAGCCAGACTCCACTCAGACACAAGAAGATAATTAGGAAATACTCTTCAAAATATACCAGCATTGCCGAGTTTATTTTAAACTCTGTCAGATGTTTTCCTTCCTGAGAGTCACTCTTGGAACAATATCTCGGGGAACTAAACGCTGGCACAAGCTGCCAAACTGACAGAGTGAGAAGCAAAGCACCGGCACGGTGTGGGTGGGAGAGCAGCAGCCACGCTCGCTTCCCCGCAGAGCCTCAGCCCCGGAGACTTGGGCCAGCGTGCACTGGCACAGGTCAGCACAGCCATCGCTCTCAGGCCACCACAAACTCGCCACATCTCCTGGCAGAATTACACTGGTTGAAGTTACTATCTCTGAGTTACTTCTCAGAGATCATGGAGGCTGTTTTCTTCCCCTCCACGCAACCTGGTAAAAAAAGTGTATTATTTCTGTCAACAAATCAGAGGACAGCTCTGTCATATAAAGAATACCTTGAGATGATACCTTGAAGATATCTTGAGATACCACTTGAGATGTGAGTATCAAGAAAAATCAAGCAAGATACCCAGCCCTGGACAATTATCTCCGTGACCCATCACTCTAAGGTCAAATTGTGATAAAGAAGACGAGACCATGTGTTGAAGGTTACCTATCTAGGAGATAGGTGGGACTTATCTTAAAGATTCACATGAAATGTGAAAGAGGCCTCACACACACAATGAGGAAGCTGCAGACCACAAACACCATTCGTGTTGCACCTGCCAGTCACGCGTTCATCTTCTCCAACGAAGCTGCCCAGCACTGCTGGCTCAAGGACATCTCCACATCATCATTCCTAAAGGATATGATCCCATTTCGTTTCTGCTTCCATTGCAGTGCTGTTCACCAGATCAGGTGAATGAAAATGCCCCAGTCATTTTGCAGCCCAATGAAGACATGAGTTTCTAAACATGCCTTGGGAGACAGGACTCCTGCGTTGCTGGCTCTGCCACAGATGTGTTTCACAGCTTTGAGCTACTCCCTTTATCTTTGCTGGAGCCTGCCCAATTCATACAACCTGGGTGGTCCCCGTCAGGGACCCCAACGTTTCTTCAGCTTTCCAGGGCAAAAAGGGCAAAGACTGAACAGTACTTCCATCCAACCTCAGCTGCCAGTACATACCCCACGTCCCTAAGCCAGCTGCCACTTGCCAGAAACACTCATAAAGGGTCACTTCTGGAAACAAAATCCCCAGTGCTTAAAAATCAGACACAGATTTGATTTCATTTGGCATCTAATGGGACTGTTAACCTCAGAAGCATGGTTGGAGTGTCTTTAAAACAAAAAACTCCACATCTGTGCCACCTGAAAGTCAGTGAGATTTAGCAGACTAAGAGCAGCTACTCCCACACTTCAGTCCTCTGCCACTGCTTTAATACATGAGCTTCACCAGGTCATTCCATCTCTGCAAGAAGCTCACAGCATGCAAAAAAGACCAGTTAATGTATGTAGAGTGCTCCAGAGAGCTGCATGCAGCACATGACACAGCTGGGACAAGCAGATCAAGGGAGAAGAATGAAAAATTCAACATGAAAACAGAATCCAAAACTCTTACTTTTTGCTTCCGCTGCCATCCCCAGAACAATGTAGGCTTCTGGAGTCTAAGGCTGGGTGCTGACACTCCACGCAGACAGTGTGGCCCTCCCTGAGATACTGCATCCAGTGAGTGTAGGAGTGGTGGCTCTGCAAGCAGCCCGGCGTGATGGCCACAAGCTGGAACTCAACACAGTACCTGCAACCCAAACAACCGAGCAGGTTAGTTCGATAACCAGATTAGAGCTCTCCACGGGACTGGAAGAGTCAGACTAAACTGGGTGACCATAGACCTCTCATTACTAAAAAAAAAATAAAGAAAAAACAAACCACACATACGAACACACTCAAAAGCTCCCAGTAATAAAAACCAGAACACGTGGTGTACCTGCATTTTGACAAGGTTAAATGGGGAATAAAACTGCTCTGCTGGTGTTTTCAACTGACATATCAAAAAATACCAGGAATTACTGGCATTTATTTTTACAAATAGAGACACAGATTGGTCAAGCATTTGACTAAAGCCAAAAAAACAACAGACAGGTCTTCCAATTCAAATTCTGGTATCTATTTGCTGAACCACACTTTCCCTATCATCTGCTCTCAGTTACTTACAATGGATTTTGTAAAGCAATTCGCAACATGAGCTAAGATTAGGTCTGTAAAGGTTTTCCTTGTGATCACCTCCCTCTTAAGAGGTATAGTGAGGTTGTCTTACCTCAGTGGCAGGACTATCAGATTGACACAATATTTCTGCCCTGCTCAGATTTTCTGTGGTTGAGATTTTAACAAAACCCAAGAGATTTTAACAAAGCCCGAAAGAATTGGCTTTGCTTGGAGGGAAAAAACAAGTAAGTTCATTAATCATCTATAAACACTGAAGAGAATTCTAGTTTAGACTTTAGCAGGTCGCTTCCTTATCTTATAAAAAAAAGATAAATACACGTGCAATAGAGCTGTGCTCACATTTTTGAATTTCGCAGGGAGAAGGCTCAACTAATCAGGAGTCCAAGGGAGGCTCAGGGTGAACAGATGCTCTATCCTTCAGACACTTAAGTGAGGTGGATGGATGCACCCACGCTCTGTGGAAACACTTACATGTACAACAGCACGTAGAGAAGAAAATTAGACAAGTGCTTTGTGCTGCGAGAGCAGCTCTGGAAAACTCCACAGGAATGACAGCCCTCAACAAGAAAGCAGCACCGCAGTAAGAATCTCTGGGGAATAACTAGCTTGCAAAGCTGTGTGCGAGGGGTTATAGGCTGGGAGATGACTTTTCCCATCAGGACTGTGTTGATGGCTGCCAAGTTGGACGAGGCTTTGAGCAACTTGATCTAGTTCCAACTTACCCCGCTCTTTCATTGCCGTCAGCTGCAGCTCTTTTCTTCCTTGCTTTTCCAAACCCTCCTGTTGTAATTAATGCTGGGACTGTGTATACCAAAGAGAGAGAGTACACAGAGTAAGTGGCAATACTGCACTGAAGCTGTTTACATCTGCAAAACAGTTAAGATGGGCCTTTAATGTCATACAGTTTTATCTTCAGCAGGAGACAAAAAAATCTAACTTTGTACTTTCATATTATCCGTGACCATCAACCATTCCACTGAAAAAAGAATCCGTATTTTTGCCATATTTTTGCCTGAGCAGCTTAAGCCTACCCAAAGACAGAGAGGGGAGGCAATATTTACTTAATTATAACCCTCAACAGGTTTAAAGAAGTCAGTTACAGCCAGCATCCAGACTGCACAGAGTTTCACTCCAAAGTACCAGCAAAAATGACAAGCAGTTCTTCTAAAAATCAGTAAAGGTATGGCATGAAAAGTTCATTTGAACAAACTGAAATCAGGCTTTTTCTCCAGAAACTAGTTGGAGGTCTCCCCTGCCTGTACTCTGCTCCAGGGCAGAAAAGTCATATATTGCCTTGGCCAGGTATTGCTCTTTCATGACTTTTTGCAGATGAATCATTGGATAAATAAAGAAAAAAGTGCTCAACACCCACTTAAGAAGTTTTAAACAGAGAGAGATCTACCAACTCTATCAAAATTGCCAGAGATTTTGTCTAAGTGAGATCACAACAGGCTGTAATAGTTCACTTTCAAAACTCAGCAGATCCCAGCAAGGACCAGGCACTACTTTCAAATACAGTCCCGGGAAGGATATCTCTGTGTGAAAAGCTCCGTTCTCCATCACGCCAGACAGGCCCAGAGCAAACACGCCGGCGTCTGAAAACAGCTCTTTTCACAAAAGAGGACAGAAAGATCAGCTCTGCTGACCCAAACAAGAGCCCTCTCCCCGATTACTCAAACCCTTACATTTCCAGCAAACTTACTCAGGGACTGTTTGCACTCTGCTCCTTGCCGAGTCCAGTACTCCACGCAGCCGGCTCTCTCCTCCAGAGGCGGGCAAGCCTCTCCTCCGTTCCGGGGCTCCTGGGTGACGTGCCTCCTCCGAACACGATACGTCGTCTTGCAAGGCTCTGCGCAGCCGCTCCAGCCACTCCACTGAGATACGACACAGGGGATAACTGCAGGAAGAGGAACAAACAGGGATGTGGCAGGTTACAGAAATTACACCAGTGTCGTGCCTTCTCCAGAAGAGACGCTTTTGAACACAGCTCGGTCCAACCTTCCTTGTTTCACACCTGTCCCACAGTTGTGTTGGGCACTTCCCAGAAGCTCTGTCCCCAGGAAATTACCTGCCCAGGAGCTCCAGCCATCCAGGTTAGTCTACATGGGGCCCGCCACCTCCCTGTCCTACACCACTGCAAACCGGGACCTGCACCGGATGAACTGAGCACAGTTTTAAAATTAGACGAGGTCAAACTGAGTGGCAGGGGAACAGCAGGACAAAGAGCAGGAGGAAAGGGTGGGTGTTGCAGACCCTTCATGCAGATAAGATGTGAAATCTTACTGACTTCTCTTGTGAGATGTCACACAGCAAATGATGACCAGCCATGGAGCTCGGACCATTGTGTGGCAGGCTGGAGTTGAGTTCAAGAATCAAAATTAAACAAAATGGCTTCCATTTCATGTGTGTTGGAACCAATCCCAAAATATCCTGAGGATGTGACTCATGGTTTTGAGTTTTGGGAACCTGCGCTTACCCCATTTTGTGATCCATTCAAACCCATTAAGAGCCACTATGCTCAGCACCTTACAGTAACAGACGTTCACACTCCCATTTACAAAGGCATTCAAAACCCTGAGTCCCACTGATTTTGCTCGGGACAGAAGCTGCTAAAAGCTGTTCTGAATTCCAGCAGCCTTTCTGAGTAGCTCAAGCTTGATACTTCAATTTATTCTCCCACAGATAACCCCTAATTACTGCATTAACCTCCTTTGAAAGTGCCCTTGTCTCCGGAAACTTTGGGAAAATCTTTCAAATGCTTTTCTTCTTTGCCTGAAGTCACCACAAACAGCTTTTTACATCTATTCAAAGATTAAGAATTACATCAAGTAATTCAGACCTTTCAAAGATGCAGTGATGCACCACAAGAAAAGTGTGTGCGTTGGATTGTAGGCTACGCAATATTATAATCCTCCTGTACATTTAATTTATTCTAAATATTCTGTTCCCATCAGTTTTGTTTGGCATCAAATACTACTGTCTTTGCCTTAATTTTTTTTTGCTTTAAAAGTCAATTTGATAAAGTGGCTCTTGAGTGGTGGTAGAAAGAAAACTACTGGAAAAAGACCAGGATACAAAGGTAAAACAAGTCAAAACAGAAGGGGTTCCCTTACACCCAGCACAAATGAATCACAAGAAATAATGCAGAAATATCTCATCGTGCACAAAACCAGCTCTCTTGCCTGACCTCCCGTGCTGGTTTTGACTGGGATAAGAGTTGATTTCCTTGACAGTAGCTAGTATGGGGCTACATCTTGGATTTGTGCCGAAAACAGTGTTGATAATGTAGAGATGTTTTTGTTATTGCTGAGCAGTGCTTACACAGCCTCAAGGCCTTTTCTGCTCTTCTCCCCAAAGGGATATCCCAGCCTGTAGGACGTCATGCTCAGCAGATAGAGCTGGGGGCAGAAGAGGGAAGCGAAGGCGTTTGTCTTGCCAAGTCACAGTTACATGTGACAGAGCCCGGCTTTCCTGGAGATGGCCGAGCACCCACATGCCAACTGGGAGTGGGGATGAATTCCTTGTTTTGCTTCACTTGCATGCGAAGCTTTTGCTTTACCTATTAAACCATCCTTAGCTCAACCCATGAGTTTCCTCGTTTTGACTCTTCCAATTCTCTCTCCATCCCACTGCGGGGGAGTGAGCGTGGGGCCGACCTGTGGGCTGGGGTTAACCCACGGGATGGCACCGGAACACTGGCACCATGGCACAGGTGCCCAGCACCCAAGGGGAGCCGCGACAGCCCTCGCTACCCCTCATGATGCCTAACGAGGGCCTGAAAATCATGTTTTTCTTACTACTCGTCTGTAACATGATGAACAGACATGAGGCGTTCCTGTCTCTCCCAGTGATCCCTGCCGACTTCTGAGAGCAGCAGGATTCAGGTGACAAGGAGCATCCAAGAGCACCCACCCAGGCAGGGGTGAGGAGGGTTTATGGGATCCCGGGACGGCAATTTTGAGCTCGCTGTGGCGCTCTGCAGACCCGCCAGCCCGTCCTCATTCACCAGCACTACTTGTTTAAATCACTTTGGCACATGCTTATTTCCCACCCATTTTCCAGCTCTCTTTTGAAAGGAAAGAGGCAATTAATTCACGGGAATATCCACCCATCTGCCTAGAGCAAAACCCTACTAAGGCACAGCTACGCAAGTTTAAAAAAAAAAAAGAAAAAAAGAAGGCATTATGTGAGCAGGTAAGGCGCCTCGAGGATGCTGTTTATAGAAAGAGAATACGAGATGGCACCACTCACTAGAACAACTTTACCTCCTTAGTTCACATCCATCCTTTATCAGAAGACATAAAAAAGGGGCCCTGCCGGGCCAGCGGCGGGAGCTGCAGCCGTCGATGCCTTTTGATCGTTTTGTTGTTGCAAGGGAGCACGGACTAGCAGAGGCAGCAGCTTTGATCCCATCCGCAGTAATTCACAAGAGGGAAAGGGAGTGGGGGATTCCCACTCGGGAAACGTCCCATTCCGCACCGTCTGTACCAG